GACATGGTGACGAACTCCTTGTGGTCTGTGTTCACGCCCGGGGGTAGGCAGAAAAGCCACATGTCTCCCAGATTTACTGTATTTATCATGGAATCAAGGCCGAAGGGTTGCGATATCCATAATACCGAGCCTAAGGGTTAACAACTTATGGCTTCTGGATACTTTAAAAAACGGACCCTGAACAAAGTGCAACGGCAGACAGTCAGACTAAGCTTATCGAAAACACGATGATACAAGTTGGCAAAGAACTAAACAAATCAATATGCTCTTTAGCAACAATGGGGGGAAAAATATGCAACAAAAACTTTCCATCAACACATTTCAGACATTAAAAGTTTCTAAAACTATGAAATCTCGCCAGGTCTACAGACTCAAGCCCGTGTTCTATTATCGAGAAATACCCAGATTTTGATAAAACGGGAGAATCCAACTAAATGGCCGGGACACACATAAAAACGGGACCATCACGTTGAAAACTGGACGTATGGCACCCTCATCCTAGAGTCCCACAGGGGGGTGATAGACTTCAGCTCTACTTATGACTGACCTGTAAGCAGACGTAAGCCTTCTTGTTGGCGGGGTCAAGGGCAATATACTCTGGCTCCAAGTCTGCGCTGAAAGTGTTGTTTTCCTGATAAACGTATCTGACCCCACTGGGCAGCAGCTCCGCTACTCTGGAACAGCGTAAGGTGAATGATAAAGATGATGATGATGAAAATCGTTATCAGAAACAATTTTGCTTTGAATGAAACCATATGTAAATGATGATCGTCAGTGCACCGTGTTGTTTCTCTGAGTTGAGATGAGTTGAGTCAAAAATTGACATCACGGCATTCGGAGCATTCCCATGCATGCTCCGTTCTCATCTTCAGCAGAAAGCGCAGAGTTTCAACACTGATGGTACCGGTCACAATCTGGTTTTATGACGGTCTTGCCTTTCCTCTGAGTCTAGTCAGACTCTCTGGTTACACCCAGGTGCCTAATTCTCTTCAGGCCATAATAATCGTCTTTCTCTACTGATTCCGTTGCTTGTTTCCAAAGGGCCTTTACCAAATCTGCCTTGTCATGTATCACTACTTCACCACCCAGTGTTGCAGATCCAGCCAATCTGTATGCCTGTTCATTACCCACCACAACGGCATAGCCTGGAGAAAAGACCCAAAGTATTCTCACTACCCGTGACCTTTCCAGTGTAGCTTGCCACTCTGCTCGAAGCATCCCTGTCTTCACCTTTCTCAGCCTGCTTTCAGAGTCTGTTACAATTACGACATGTTTATGCATTTTGTTCTCTAGCCACCGGAGAGCTGCAGTTACCGCCTCCACCTCCAGTCTCATGCTAGATGTTGTGGTGTCAGAATGGAGGTGGAGGCGGTAACTGCAGCTCTCCGGTTTCTAGAGAACAAGCGTGTCATTGTTCTCTAAATACAAACAATGCAGTGGGCGACGAACAACCATGGGTGCTGTGTATAAAAAAAAAAAGAAGCCCGAAGATCTGTTAAAGGAAGGAGCCTTCCTCGTCGTCGTCGTCGTCATCATCATCATCCCTTTCCACAGATCTCGGTTCTTGGTATTTTGAATCAATTGCACGGACCTGTTCACGTTTCCCCGCCCATCTACACACTTGTTCGGTCTGATCTATGTCAGAGGGGTGTCATGTTGTACCGCTTTCTTCGAAAAGAGTCTCTCGTGTGACCTAGGCTCAGGCTGCGGGTAGGTGGGTTTGGGTTAGGGCCAGTTCTAGATGTCCTGGGTTTGTTGAAAGCTGTGTCGTCGTGTAGTATAGAACACGCGACATCGGCGCTGATGTAACTGAAGGCAAGACAGCGTGATACTCTATCAACGTAGAAGAGTCTAAAAAAGTATTAATAAAAGGTCAGGGTGTAAATGGGCTGGGAAACATGAACAGGACCGATTCCACTAATGATATTCCATCATGCTATCGATTCAGGCCGTCAAGCATGGTCTCTAATGGTCTGTCTCTACCTCCTCTACAGGAGACCTCGCCCAAAAATGGGACACAATTTCTTGTTATTTAAAGTCTCACCCCGGCTATAGTAGGGAGACCCTAAAATAACCTAACTGTTGAACAGTTTCTGCTACTTGTTAAGTTAGATGCGTATCCTTTACAGGACGTTGCAGAACCAAGTCAAACAGCCCCTGGTTGTTGTGTGGTTTTTCTAGGCAAATTTACGTCCAGCATTACGAAGCGTTCGCATCGACTTAGCCACCGAGCTGACCTGCTACTTGTACCCAGGTGATTCTCATCCAAGTGATGGCACTCTATGTCTCCGGTGTTTATCGCTCGTTGTGCGGGCCGGGTAGAGGTTGAACCTCTCAAACTTTGCATTTATAACGCATAATTAGGCTAACGGCTGACGGCGAAACTTACTTGCTGTTAAAGGCCTTAAAATCGATGGTTTTCACTGATTGGGCACTGTCTTGTGGGCCGTTGGGCCAGCTCACAATGGCCACTCCTCCTTCCGGGTCCTGCAATAAGATAGCAGATGTTTACTTAAGATAGGTCACGCCTCCAACTGCACACTTAGAATCAATGGACAGGCAAAGACACGGGAGCTAACGCAGACACGACATGGGCTTTTTCAAAGCAGCGGGATGTCGAAGTATTCATTACGTACTTATTAATACTGCTACTGCCGCTTCAGCTTCTACTGCTGTTGCTGCTGCTACTGCTACCACTACTGCTGCTACTTCTACTCCTGCTACTACTACTGCCTGTCCTACTACTACTTTTGCTGCTACTGCCTCTACTACTGTTGCTGATACTGCTGCTACTGATACTAATGCTGCAACTACTGCTACTGAAGCTTCTACTACTGCCACTGCTACTGCTGCTACTTTTACTACTGCTACTACTGCTGCTACTACTACTGCTGTTACGACAACTTTCGTTGCTACTGCTATTACTAATACTGCTATGGCTGCTACTACTTCTACTACTTTAGCCACTAACACTACAACTAATACTACTCATCAAATGCCTCGCACCTAATGGTGTGGATGGTCATGTCTATCCACAATCTACGATCTTAAACAAGATGTATCAGTTCGTGTGTTGACTGACACCACTACATTACATCACAAAAGCCAGTCAATTTTCGTCTTGCGAAGTTTTCCTTGCCTCGTTTTCCTACAGATCTTTCCAGTAATCACAAGATGTTCCAGATTCCCTCTTCACATAAAATATTTGTGATAAGTTGTCTTCTAGCCGTCACCTCTTTTAAAACATCTGGGTTGCTCTTTTTCGCTTTCCAAGGAGTTCTAAAGATCCTTTTGTAAAGCCACATCTCCGATGCCTCAAGAAATTGACATATTTATTAACTGTCCAGGATTCACAGCCGTATGTTAAAACTGGCTCTATATAGCGTGATAAAATTTTTGTTCTAAGGTCCAATGATTTTGATTTATTGTATAAAATGTTTGTAGTTTTATTAAATGCAGTTTTGACCTGTCCTACTTCACTATTACAGAACTATTAGCCTAATGAGTCACGTAACTAAGTTACTCTTGGAGATAATACAAGCAAGAATTCAAAATAAAATAGATAAAAAAGTTTCTGAAGAGCAATTTGGATTCCGTAAAAACAGTGGTACTCGAAAGGCCATAATTTATCTAAAGATGCTGACTGAAAAATATATAGAAGTTCAGAAAAATATTTATGCATGTTTTATAGATTACAAAAAAGCTTTCGACAGAGTGCAACATGAACAACTAACTGCAGCTCTTCAAAACATAGGACTAGATGGAAAGGATATCAGACTTATTAGAATCTTATACTGGGAGCAAGAAGCAACAGTAAGATATGACAACATCTGCTCACCCCAGATAGAGATCAAGAGAGTAGTAAGACAAGGATGTGTGCTGTCGCCTAGTCTTTTCAACTTATGTACAGAAACCATTTTTAAAGAAATTGTAGAATTACCAGGACTGCGCATCAATGGTAGAATAATAAACAATCTGAGATATGCTGACGACATAGTGTTTCTAGCAGAGAGTAAGCAGGAGTTGCAAGACCTAGTGGAGCAAGTAAACAGAAGGATTACAGAATTTGGATTAGATATTAATTTGAGAAAGACAAAAACCATGATATTTAGCCAAGAAAATAATCAGCTAACAATGAATATCACAGTGAACGGGGTGAAATTGGAACAAGTTAAAAATTTCTTTTATCTTGGACAAGTAATAACTTGTGTCGACAGAAGTGAAACAGAAGTCAAGAAAAGAATAGGGATGGCCAAAAACATTTTCAACAACATGCAGAAGTTACTGACATCAAGAGAAATAAGCAATACATTAAAAATGAGAATTGTCAAATGTTATGTATTCTCAACCTTACTGTATGGCACAGAGACATGGACAATGAACAAACAACTGGAAAATCATATCAATTCTTTGGAGATGTGGATATACGAAGATTAGGTCGTATTTCATGGAAACAAAAGCTATCAAATACAGAGGTACTGAGGAAATTGGGAATGAAAAGAGAGTTGCTAGGTGAAATAAAAAAGAGACAAGTGAAATATTTTGGTCACATTAAAAGACATAACAGTATTGTAAAGATCATCCTAGAGGGAAAGATGAGCGTCTTACTAACAGTACTAGAGCGCTTCGTAGTCTCGAGACATGATGTCCACCTCAAGTGCTAGAGGTTCCGGGCTCAATCCCCAGTAAGAACTGGGATTTTTTCACGTGGACTTGGACTTCTAGTAATTCCTCCTGGTCTCTTGGCAGTAATATCGGACGCCTGTGTGCATTATTGCGCACGTAAAAATCCCTAGGCAGTTGTAAATCGAACTAACGGCGTTGCTCTGGCAACGATTTGGAGTTAAAAACCTACCCTAAGTATTTTAGGATCCCCGCCGGTGCTACAGAGCCTGTGCACTGTCTGAGCTTCTTCGGACTCGGAGTTGAGTTAGAAGAAGAACGGAGCACTTATGGGTTACTACCCTAGTTGCCATGATGTTGATCCATTGTTCAAACCTCAAACTACTAGTAGTAGAAATAGTGATATTACTTCTACAGTTACTTTTGCTGATGACTCTACTACTACAAATACTAACAACATACGGTTCTTCATACGGTATCATGTGTTGAGGACATACACAAGTACTTACAATAAACTTGCCAGTATCGTCAAAGAATGCGTCGCCCTCTAGAGCCACTAGGACACTCTTGCAGCCCTCTAGCGGGTAGATCATGTCTGGTTTAGCTCCAACTGGGACAAATAATAAATCAGTGTAAGTAGGTAAAGTAAAACACCCTTCTCCACGCCCTTAAGCGTAATGGGCACATAAGGCTTGTGACAAACCAACGGAATATGTCAGTCCGGCAAGAGTTAATTGCATCTTTTGGTTAAAAGAATTGCGCACTTAAAATAAATATAGTTGAATATAGATGCGAGAAGAGTAGAAAATGTACGAAGGCGCACACAACTTATGACGTTAGCTTAGTGTTACTAGGAGAAAACCTTAGAGCTAATCATTCATCACTACATCAACGACAGCCCCAGCCTTTCCATCGGCCTAACACCAAAAGAAATAATATTAATAATACGAATTCAGTTTCCCTACAACACCATTGATTGTTAACCACATTGTAGAAGGAAAATCCGAAATTAACTGACGACTGTTGCAGATAGCCAATCACTACAATTGTTACCGCCAGTGTATTGTCCATACCACCGAATGCCGTACTCCACTCGAGCGAACCTAAAGATGAGTGATGTTTAGATACATTGAAATGGTTTTTTTTTTTAATGTGGAATGATGAGTTAATTTCCTTTTTAGTTGAATAATTTGTTGGGATGGCTGGAACGTGTTATGTCAATACAATTGTTGATTTAGAAAACTCAGATATCAAATTATATCAGTTAGCATCGATTTGTATTTCCAAGTATTGTACGTTGTGATTTATTTGAGTTCAATTCGCCAGGTGTTGAACTTTGTTTATTCTGAAGTTTAGTTTAGTTTCTTTATGAACTCAGGGACCCATAGAATTCCCCTAGACTTTCTTAATTTCTGTAAATATTTAGGAAGGATTATAGGGGATCTCCAGGCGAGGATAAATTCCGCCAAACTAAATTACCACAAGGCTAGATCTATATATCAGTTTATATTGTGAAAAATGCAGTGGAATATTATTACAATGCTACTGGAGATCCAGGAAATGTTTGGGATTCTTTTGTATTGATATAAAAATGAATTGGGGATGGGGGTGTGGGGGGGGGGGGGGGGTTACTTCCCAATACTTGGTTCGCTTTACTGCTTTATATGTTAATTTTTTTGATCTCATTGACCATCTTCGGTGAATATTGTACCAGAAATCATGTGACTGAAACACAACAAAAACTAACCTGGAACACTCTTCAACAAATCAATCTCGACGGTGCTTCCCCTTATGTGTTTCTTGAAGACCATAAGCTGCCCGTCCAGTCGACTGTCCTGGTTGTCAGCCGAGACGAGGACGACGTCACCACAGACTTCTATGTCTGTTAGGTCAAAGCCTGCAATGAACTTGGTGTACAGAAGTTTCATATTGCTGGCGTCCGCACAGTCAATGACATGGAGCACTTCGTAACCTGGCCGTTTCGGGGGAAAACAAGAAGTGTACTCTTCAGTATTATTTATGCCTAAATGACTAAACGTGTCTTCTTCTTCTTCTTCTTCTTCTTCATCTTCTTCTTCTTCTCTTCTTCTTCTTCTTCTCTTCTTCTTCTTCTTCTTCTTCTTCTTCTTCTTCTACTACTACTACTACTACTTCTTCTTCTTCTTATTATTATTATTATTCTTTTTTCTTGTTTGTTTTCCCTTTCTTCTTCTTCTTCTTCTTCTTCTTCTTCTTCTTCTTCTTCTTCTTCTTCTTCTTCTTCTTCTTTTCTTCTTCTTCTTTTCTTCTTCTTCTTCTTCTTCTTCTTCTTCTTCTTCTTTCTCTTCTTCTTCTCTCTCTTCTCTTCTTCTTCTTCTTCTTCTTCGTCTTCTTCTTCTTCTTCTTTTCTTCTTCTTCTTCTTCTTCTTTCTTCTTCTTCTTCTCTTCTTCTTCTTCTTCTTCTTCTTCTCTTCTTCTTCTTCTTCTTCTTCTTTCTTCTTCTTCTTCTTCTTCTTTCTTCTTCTTCTTCTTCTTCTTCTTCTTCTTCTTCTTCTTCTTCTTCTTTCTTCTTCTTCTTCTTCTTCTTCTTCTTCTTCTTCTTCTTCTTCTTCTTCTTCTCTTCTTCTTCTTCTTCTTCTTCTTCTTCTTCTTCTTCTTCTTCTTCTTCTTCTTCTTCTTCTTCTTCTCTTCTTCTTCTTCTTCTCTTCTTCTTCTTCTTCTTCTTCCTTCTTCTTCTTCTTCTTCTTCTTCTTTTCTTCCTTCTTCTTCTTCTTCTTCTTCTTCTTCTTTCTTCTTCTTCTTCTTCTTCTTTCTTCTTCTTCTTCTTCTTCTTCTTCTTCTTCTTCTTCTTCTTCTTTTCTTCTTCTTCTTCTTCTTCTTTTCTTCTTCTTCTCTTCTTCTTCTTCTTCTTCTTCTTCTTCTTCTTCTTCTTCTTCTTCTTTTCTTCTTCTTCTTCTTCTTCTTCTTCTTCTTCTTCTTCTTCTTCTTCTTCTTCTTCTTCTTCTTCTTCTTCTTCTTCTTCTTCTCTTCTTCTTCTTCTTCTTCTTCTCTTCTTCTTCTTCTTCTTCTTCTTCTTCTTCTTCTTCTTCTTCTCTTCTTCTTTCTTCTTCTTCTTCTTCTTCTTCTTCTTCTCTTCTTCTTCTTCTTCTTCTTCTTCTTCTTCTTCTTCTTCTTCTTCTTCTTCTTCTTCTTCTCTTCTCTTCTTCTTCTTCTTCTTCTTCTTCTTCTTCTTCTTCTTCTTCTTCTTCTTCTTCTTCTTCTTCTTCTTCTTCTTCTTCTTTTCTTATTCTTCTTCTCTTCTTCTTCTTCTTCTTCCCTTCTTCTTCTTCTTCTTCTTCTTCTTCTTCTTCTTCTTCTTCTTCTTCTTCTTCTTCTTCTTCTTCTTCTTCTTCTTCTTCTCTTCTCTCTTCTTCCTTCTTCTTCTTCTTCTTCTCTTCTTCTTCTTCTTCTTCTTCTTTCTTCTTCTTCTTCTCTTCTTCTTCTTCTTCTTCTTCTTCTTCTTCTTCTTCTTCTTCTTTCTTCTTTTCTTCTTCTTCTTCTTCTTCTTCTTCTTCTTCTTCTTCTTCTTCTTCTTCTTCTTCTTCTTCTCTTCTTCTTCTTCTTCTTCTTCTTCTTCTTCTTATTCTTCTTCTTTCTTCTTCTTCTTCTTCTTCTTCTTCTTCTTCTTCTTCTTCTTCTTCTTCTTCTTCTTCTTACTTCTTCTTCTTCTTCTTTCTTCTTCTTCTTCTTCTTCTTCTTCTTCTTCTTCTTCTTCTTCTTCTTCTTCTTCTTCTTCTTCTTTTCTTCTTTCTTCTTCTTCTTCTTCTTCTTCTTCTTCTTCTTCTTCTTCTTCTTCTTCTCTTCTTCTTCTTCTCTTCTTCTTCTTCTTCTTCTTCTTCTTCTTCTTCTTTCTTCTTCTTCTTTCTTCTTCTTCTTCTTCTTCTTCTTCTTCTTCTCTTCTTCTTCTTCTTCTTCTTCTTCTTCTTCTTCTTCTTCTCTTCTTCTTCTTTCTTCTTCTTCTTTCTTCTTCTTCTTCTTCTTCTTTCTCTCTTCTTCTTCTTCTTCTTCTTCTTCTTCTTCTTCTTCTTCTTCTCTTCTTCTTCTTCTTCGTCTTCTTTTCTCTTCTTCTTCTTCTTTCTTCTTCTTCTTCTTCTTCTTCTTCTTCTTCTTCTTCTTCTTCTTCTTCTTCTTCTCTTCTCTTCTTCTTCTTCTTCTTCTTCTTCTTCTTCTTCTTCTTCTTCTTCTTCTTCTTCTTCTTCTTCTTCTTCTTCTTCTTCTTCTTCTTCTCTTCTTCTTCTTCTTCTTCTTCTTCTTCTTCTTTCTTCTTCTTCTTCTTCTTCTTCTTCTTCTTCTTCTTCTTCTTCTCTTCTTCTTCTTCTTCTTCTTTCTTCTTCTTCTTCTTCTCTTCTTCTTCTTCTTCTTCTTCTTCTTCTTCTTCTTCTTCTTCTTCTTCTTCTTCTTCTTCTTCTCTTCTTCTTCTTCTTCTTCTTCTTCTTCTTCTTCTTCTTCTTCTTCTTCTTCTTCTTCTTCTTCTTCTTCTTCTTCTTCTTCTTCTTCTTCTTCTTCTTCTTCTTCTTCTTGCTTCTCTTCTTCTTCTTCTTCTTCTTCTTCTCTTCTTCTTCTTCTTCTTCTTCTTCTTCTTCTTCTTCTTCTTCTTCTTCTTCTTCTCTCTTCTTCTCTTCTTCTTCTTCTTCTTCTTCTTCTTCTTCTTCTTTCTTCTTCTTCTTCTTCTTCTTCTTCTTCTTCTTCTTCTTTCTTCTCTTCTTCTTCTTCTTCTTCTTCTTCTTCTTCTTCTTCTTCTTCTTCTTTCTTCTTCTTCTTCTTCTTTCTTCTTCTTCTTCTTCTTCTTCTTCTTCTTCTTCTTCTTTCTTCTTCTTCTTCTTCTTCTTCTTCTTCTTCTTCTTCTTCTTCTTCTTCTTCTTCTTCTTCTTCTTCTTCTTCTTCTTTTCTTCTTCTTCTTCTTCTTCTTCTTCTTCTTCTCTTCTTCTTCTTCTTCTTCTTCTTCTTCTTTTCTTCTTCTTTTCTTCTTCTTAGCTTCTTCTTCTTCTTCTTCTTCTTCTTCTTCTTCTTCTTCTTCTTCTTCTTCTCTTCTTCTTCTTCTTTTTCGTCTTTTTCGTTTTCTTCTCAGCATGTGTTTGTCTGTCTATTTGTCTGTATTTGTGTGTGTGTGTCTATGTGGCTGTATGTATGTGACTGCATGTTTGTCAGCGTATGTGTGTGTGTGTGTGTCAGTGTGTGAGCATGAATGTATATATGTGTGCTGTGTGTTTCCCTGTGTGTGTTTATACGTAAGTGTCTGTGTGTGTCTGTATTTTTGTCTAAGTGAGTGTCCGTGTGTGTCTTCATGCATGACTGTATTTATGACTGCATGTTTGTATGTATGTATATATGTATGTTTGTATGTGTGTATGCCTGTATTATGTATGCATGTATGTATGTATGTATGTATGTATGTATGTATGTATGTATGTATGTATGTATGTATGTATGTATGTATGTATGTATGTATGTATGTATGTATGTATGTATGTATGTATGTATGTATGTATGTATGTATGTATGTATGTATGTATGTATGTATGTATGTATGTATGTATGTATGTATGTATGTATGTATGTATGTATGTATGTATGTATGTATGTATGTATGTATGTATGTATGTATGTATGTATGTCTGCCTGCCTGCCTGCCTGCCTGCCTGCCTGCCTGCCTGCCTGCCTGCCTGCCTGCCTGCCTGCCTGCCTGCCTGCCTGCCTGCCTGCCTGCCTGCCTGCCTGCCTGCCTGCCTGCATGCATGCATGCATGTATGTATGTATGCATGCATGTATGTATGTATGTATGTATGTATGTATGTATGTATGTATGTATGTATGTATGTATGTATGTATGTATGTATGTATGTATGTATGTATGTATGTATGTATGTATGTATGTATGTATGTATGTATGTATGTATGTATGTATGTATGTATGTATGTATGTATGTATGTATGTATGTATGTATGTATGTAGTATGTATGTATGTATGTATGTATGTATGTATGTATGTATGTATGTATGTATGTATGTAGTATGTATGTATGTATGTATGTATGTATGTATGTATGTATGTATGTATGTATGTATGTATGTATGTATGTATGTATGTATGTATGTATGTATGTATGTATGTATGTATGTATGTATGTATGTATGTATGTATGTATGTATGTATGTATGTATGTATGTATGTATGTATGTATGTATGTATGTATGTATGTATGTATGTATGTATGTCTGTATGTATGTATGTATGTATGTATGTATGTATGTATGTATGTATGTATGTATGTATGTATGTATGTATGTATGTATGTATGTATGTATGTATGTATGTATGTATGTATGTATGTATGTATGTATGTATGTATGTATGTATGTATGTATGTATGTATGTATGTATGTATGTATGTATGTATGTATGTATGTATGTATGTATTTATGTATGTATGTATGTATGTATGTATGTATGTATGTATGTATGTATGTAAGTATGTATGTATGTATGTATGTATGTATGTATGTATGTATGTATGTATGTATGTATGTATGTATGTATGTATGTATGCCTGTATATATGTGTGTATGCCTGTATGCATGTTTGTATGTATGTGTGTATGTATGTATGCATGTTTGTATGTATGTAATTTATGCATGCATGTATGTGTGTGTAAGTGAGTGGGTGAGCGTATGTATGTGGGTGTATGTATGTATATGGGTGTGTGGGTTTTTGCATGCACTTTACAACTCATACTTTTGTGTTCTTTTATAATATTCATAATATGCATATCCTCATATGATCATAATATGCTATATTAGTAAAATACAACTGCTGTGCGAAAGATGGTTGACTGGAAGGGCCGAATGGAAGACGGGCCTGAGTGCCCAATTTGTGACCCTTTGAAAATAAAGTTCGTTCGTTCTTCTTCTTCTTTTTCTTCTTTTTTCTTCTTCTTCTTCTTCTTCTTCTTCTTCTTCTTCTTCTTCTTCTTCTTCTTCTTCTTCTTCTTCTTCTTTTCTTTTCTTCTTTTCTTCTTCTTCTTCTTTTTTCTTCTTCTTCTTCTTCTTCTTCTTTTCTTCCTCTTCTTTTTTTTTCTTCTTCTTCTTCTTCTTCTTCTTCTTCTTCTTCTTCTTCTTCTTCTTCTTCTTCTTCTTTTTCTTCTGCAGTAAACTTTGGCGGAATGTTTTGGTTGTTCGTCCACTGTCGGACGTTAGTCTTGTTCCAAAACTTGTGTTTTCCGTGCATATCTCTTTTTTTACGTGTTGTTGTTGTTGTTTTTGTTGTTGTTGTTGTTGTTGTTGTTGTTTGTTCCAGCTTTGGTTACTTGTACTACCACTGCTTTTGTTGCTGTTACTTCTACGTGTAGCAGTAAGAAAACATAGCAGCAGTATTTATTGTAGTAACAACAACTGACTCAGCTTCAAAGCTAGCACGGCCTTATCCCTGTTTACATGTTTTGTATAAGCTATTACTTAACTATCTTTCAGACTACCTGTATACCCAACAGTTACTGTCAGAACATATTTCCCGCTTTTATTATTGTTCCTTAGCTTTGTTGTTGTCTTGAGTGTCATAATAATGTCATCCATCACTGCCTCACACGTAAAATCATAGTTAGATTTATTAAAATTCACCTCTATCTTTTATGTTTCTACACGATCCAAAATGATCCCATATAATCCGATACGATCCCACATGATCCTACACGATCCACCATGATCGTTCTCTTCTACACAATGCAAAAGTCATGAATTGTTTTGTATTCGCCCAAATCTATTACAGACACTGTGGGTCCGAAAGTCAAGGGTTCAAATCCGCATGAAGACGGAATTTTTTTCTTCTCCAAAATTGGCCTTGGCTCCAAGGTTGACCCAACCTCAAATGGGTACGAGTTAAAGTAATGGGAAGCAAAGGCAGTCGGCGTGATGTTGGCCCATCATCCAAGTATATTATGTTCATTCTCCATTGAGCACATCCTTCTTCTTGTTCTGCACTTTATCTCTCAGTGCAGCATAGGCTACATGTTTGAGGTTTGAACAACGAATTCACATCATGGCACACGGGGAGTAATCTATAAGTGCTCCGTTCTTCTTCTAACTCAAGTCCACGTCGAAGAAGCTCAGTACACTGCACAGGCTCTGTGGCACCGGCGAGGATCCTAAAATACTTTGGGTAGATTTTTAACTCCAAATATTCCTCGGGCAGTGCCGTTAGGCTACTTTTTTCAATTTCCAACTGCCGATGGATTTTTTTTTTTTTTACGTGTGCAACAATGCACACGGGCGTCTGATCTCACTACCCAGAGAGCAGGGGGAATTACTGGAAGTCCGAGTCCGTGTGAAAATATCCCAGCCCTTACCACATCCCCTTACCGGGGATTAAACTTGGAACCTCTAGAACTTGAGTCGGACACCATGCCTCGAGACCACGCAGCCTCTCCATCGCTACATGTTTGGTCATTTGACTATCAAACCAGCGAAAGCTACTGTGACTGCCTCCATCTCCATTCCTACTCTAGCTGTGGTATTATATTCTAGGCCTTGTTTGAGTGAGCCATGACAATTCGGGTTTTCTGCCTCTCAACACAGAACTATCCGTGCTGAATGCTTCACAGCTTTGAAGACTTTATCCCGCACTTTTTCTTTTTGATAACACAGAACCATATGTGCTGAA